GGGGACACACCAGGGACACACCAGGGACACACCGGGGACACACCGGGGACACACCGGGGACACACCGGGGACACACAGGGGACACATCGGGGACACACCGGGGACACACCAGGGACACACCGGGGACACACCAGGGACACACCGGGGACACACCAGGGACACACCAGGGACACACCAGGGACACACCGGGGACACACCAGGGACACACCAGGGACACACCGGGGACACACCAGGGACACACCGGGGACACACCGGGGACACACCGGGGACACACCAGGGACACACCAGGGACACACCGGGGACACACCAGGGACACACCGGGGACACACCGGGGACACATGTTGAGAGAAGACATCAACAAGTGACTTTTGCATGATAGGTCCCCTTTAAGGAAACTACAGGATAAAACAAATCACCCAATTTGTGTAATTTGAAGGAAAATGCCATTTGTGTGTTCACGTTTTTTTGTCTGATTGTCTGAAGGATTACAGAAAAGCTCCTGGACTGATCTTAATGAAACTTGGCGGGAGTGTTAAACATGGACAAAAATAAATGTAATTCTAAGAAAAGTCAACATTTAAAGAATAAAATCATTTCTGAAAAAAGTAATACTTCTGAGAAACATTTCAAAATGTGGTGAAAAAGACCGATATATTTCATCATCTCGTACCTGCCGATGAGCAGGAACTCCCCTGCGACCCCGAGCCTCCTCATGGCCGCCAGCAGGCCTCGAACCGTCATTCCCTCGCAGAAACACACCACCACCCGCGCTTTGGGGAGACGTTCTCTCAGCTTCCTCAGCAGCCGGTCGAACTGCTTCTCCCCGGCGTTACTGTAGATCTTATCAGAGTGAGCGATGCAGAGTCCGTCCTGAGACGCCAGCTCTTTAAAAACCTCCATGCCGCTCTCCCCGTAGTTTCCTGCAGACACAGCAGGGTCACAAAGAGTTAAAGGTAAGGTACGTTTATTTAAAAAGCACATGTTCAGACATCGATGATCAATCAATTTATAGTTTAATTTAAATAAATGTGGGATGGACGTCTTTAGATTCGTGTGAGATTTAGATTTTTTGGGGATTAGATTTCTTTGGACTTATATTTTTTGATATACTTTTATATACTTTGTTTAACCTAATAATGATGGTCAGACAGACAAACTATTAAAAGGTGATACCCCCTCTTACCCTCTGTGTGAACGGCAGAGACGTAGGTCCAGTTGTAGCGCTTCACGATGTCGATCAGCGCGCGGGCCTGCAGCGTGTCGGAGGGGACGACCCGCAGGAAGTACTTGAACAGCGTCTTGTCGCTCAGATCGATGCTCGTGGCAGAGTAGGCGATCTGAGGGATGTTGAACAGCTGAAGGAGGTTCTGGACCTGGATCGCCACAGAGCTGGAACCAGGCCCGATGACACCTAAAAGATATGGAAGGGACTGTTATTTAGTTTTCCTTTCTGTTTTCATTGCGACGTGCTAAATGTGACATGTATGTAGTAACGTGTGTTGGTTGCATTGTATTGTTCTCTCTTATCCTTTCTCCTCTATCTGCTTGTCTTTAGTTGGGAACATCCTGAATGTCCTCTTCCAACATGAGAGCAGCATGCTAACAAAGGTATCAACTGTAGCTGTGAACATGACAGGATGTGTGATTACCTAGAAGAGCATCAGGACTGTTTGAGGCATATGATAGCTATGTGATTAACATGATGATTCAGCCTCTATGGAGAGAGACATATGACAAGCATGATCATTTCTGACGTGGAGCTAATCTGAAGTAAACATTGAATACTGCTTTCTATTCCTCCATCTTGTGACTGTGGAACTCCCTCTCTTGGATATCAGCATGTGAAGGACACTGTTCAGGAACTAGTTGATGCTCTGTATGTGATGACTACTTCCATTCTGGAGAGGATCACAGATACATGGATCCTGAGACTCAAGCTCAAGCCAGGGACCAGGGAGAGTTTTCTAACTGTGGGAAACAGTATTTCGATCTCTCTGTCTGTACACACGAACTGAAAGATTGAAATAAAGTTGACTTTGACACCTGCGATGGGTTTCTTAGTGGGCGGCGGCTGAGAGGACGGCGATCCTTCGATGCACCAACGAGCCCCTTCGTTTTCATCCCGAATGGAAATCAACGAGTCACGGATAAACTCAATACTTTGTTCCAACGCCACCGATGAATGCCAGCACGAATCCCTGATCTCACATCCCAGCGAGATGTTGGGAAGCAGGTTTGGATCCGCATTAATCCGGTCCAAAGCGTGAAACATGGCCTCCACTCGCTGGATACCGTATTGTTCTCGAACTTCTCCACATTTCCTCTCCGCCACTTTCTCAGCCGACGGCTGGTGGTGCACGGAGAACAAAGCGCCAATGATGATGTCTCCGTCCATTCGAGCGACGAGGCGAGAGGCAGAGCCAGGAGTCGCCGAACGCTCGTATTTTCCATCGTCGGACAACGAAAAGGAGTACGAGAGGAGGACGGGAAGAAAGAGCAGGAACAGGAGGAGCTTCATGTTGGACGTTGAGGAGAAGAGAGGATAGTCATGGCCGACGATCCATCATCGAGGTCCATAAATCCACTCAGGAATAAAAAAGGGTTTTACTCTGAACCTCCAGCGGCGTCGCCCTGAGAGGAGAAGCGTGATTAGTCGATTAAAAGAATGAATCAGCAACTATTCGGTTCAACATGCACATAACACAATCTCTGGTTCCAGATTCTTAAATGTGCTGCTTTACTTTGTGTTCTTTACAGGCTATTACAGAATATCATATCGATAACGTGACGAGACAAGATACCTCTTGTGTTCTGGAAAAGGACCATTAGTCGATTAAATTTTCACAACAGAAAAGAAGACAACTGAAATCGAGATGAGAAATATTTGTCTTATACCAACGTAACTGTTGCTTCAGTGGGTCATCACAGACATCTAAAAATGAAGAAGATGTAACATATCTCGTCTTTTGGTATTACTCACAAATGTTTGGAAAGTTCTTAGTCGTTAACACTTATTTGATTTATTGGACAAATCTGAGTTTCTGAGCTGGAAGTAGCACGGTGAAAACACTCCATTACAAGCACAAGTCCTGCATTCAAACATGTACTTAAAGGTCTCCTATCATCCTCCTCTTCATCAATAATTCCCAGGTCAGGTATATCCAGAGCCTGTCTCTGATTGGCTGAAACACCAAACAGATCATTGCAGCATTACCCATAATCCCCTCTGTTTCAGCCCTGTTACACATCATCATCAGGGATCAAGTTACACATCATCATCAGCAGGGATCATGTTACACATCATCAGGGATCATGTTACACATCATCATCATCATCAGGGATCAAGTTAACACATCATCATCATCAGGGATCATGTTACACATCATCAGGGATCATGTTACACATCATCAGGGATCAAGTTACACATCATCATCAGGGATCATGTTACACATCATCATCAGGGATCATGTTACACATCATCATCAGGGATCAAGTTACACATCATCAGGGATCAAGTTACACATCATCATCAGGGATCATGTTACACATCATCAGGGATCAAGTTACACATCATC